GTATGTTTCAATCTTTCAGTATTAATTTAATAAGTGAACTTACGTTGACCAGACTGTGATTGTTGATTTGAAAAACTCCGTGATTGTCATACACCTTTGATTGTCTTTTACATCTAGCTCTAGCTTTAATCCGCAGCATGTGATATAAACATACAAATCCGTACGTCGTAAATCAGAAATTGGCGTATCAAAGAATCCGGAAATGTCCGAAGTAGGTAACCCCGATTGTCTAATGGTAATGCACCAAGAAGACAATCCCAAGGTTAAGCCACTAACTATAAGGTCTTTCTGAATTCCACTCACAATGTAACGTATTGCGGTGTAAATGTTATTAATAGACTATGCGAGCACGCGCTTACAACTTCGGTGGTCATGCAAGTTGACTGACTCGAAAGACATCGGAGAATCTGGTCAATGGTAGCTGTTTTTGCTATCAATTTTCATTAAACTTAATACTGCACCTTAGTGTTACATCACTAACGTTTAAACTGATGTGGCATTTCGAAGAGGTGGAGCCGGCAGACTATGTTACAGTTTTAAATTAACATAACGCTTCTAGTTGTCAGGTAAAGTTCGAGGCACCGCCCCATAACTTCATAATTAACTTATGCTACCACACACAATATCGAAATCGAATTTTGAATTATCATTACCTGCAATCTAGATTTATATCCGGTGTTCATAGAGACATTTACGCATTTAACTTATATTGATATATATTTACAAGTCGTTCGCTGCCTGGGTGGCTGGGAGTTATGTTTCGTATTCAGCTGCCAAGTAGATATAGACAGCATTACAGTTCCCGAACAACACACACACAAATAAATAAATGAATAATTCGCCATATCTTAACGCGATACAAGGAAACCGGAGTAAGAAATAGGTGGAATAATTTCCGGAATGGCATCATCACTGTTTTGTTAATATGATATTTTATTAAACTGTTTTGTGAGACGTTTATTTTTTTATGAAACCAATAGAAGTATGATCAATCTAAGATCATGTTCGGTTCCAAAAAAAATAACAGTACGTATCGGTGATTCTATTTACAGATTTTGTTACTTTGCTGATGTAATAATACTAATGTCCATTATCCGTGTATTAAGAACCGTTGTTAGCAGTACTAGTTATATATTAGATCATATTTACATGTTTCTGCCATACCTGAAATCTATACTTATTTTGGCGTCTCTAATATCTAAATCACGTCCGTCTCTGACGTCGTAAACAGCGTGTATTTCTGGCATTTTCCTCCTTACACTCACCGAATTTCTGATGTAACAGTACACACTAAAGAAAGTCAATTTTTTTGAAAACACATTCCAATCATTATACATACACATATATGTATATATATATATATATGGGGCAAAGAAGTAATTCCAACAGTGTGGACAAGTTTAGGTTATTTCATTAGATATTTCCAATTCTTGTGAAACCCCAGTTCCGAAAATGTGCTTCGTACCGGAAATGTTACAATATGTAGAGATATTTCAACAGTAAGTCACCATTCTTTACTGTCATTTTTTGAAATTACAAGTTAAACAATTGTTCTTTTTTTCGGTCTGCAACGAAAGTTAACTTATAAACAACAGTTATGAAGAGGTTTCACCAGTAATGCAGACGATAGCTAGACCGTTAATAACGGTATTCCGTCTTTTCGTATCGCTATCCAAGACGCCACCCGTCCACCCTAAGTCTCTTGTTTACAAGCACCTGTGTTTTTGACGGTTACTGTTCATTATAGAGATCAGGTTTTTTTTCTATACGAACTAAAATGAACCTGACCAAACAGTTTTGGGTCCACAAACTTAATTTATCCAATATATAAGCGTAAACTTCGAATAGCAAAGTAAGGAGAGATCTGGAAAATGTGCATGTTCATCATACATAGCGCTTACACCTACACGCAGACGACCTCCTCGTGTATCAATCACAGTGATAGTTAACACTACTAGTGTTACTTAACATACTTGACATCAGAAGTACTGGGCGGGAAACAGCGTTTGATGTAAACTCCCGCGTGTTTTATTCATAAGGAAACGTGTAATGGTTAACATATCAGGCACATGTACGTGTACATTCGTCTTTACAACAAACATCCGTCCGGACAACAAACATTCGTCTTTACAATAAACATTCGTCCCGACAACATTCGTCTTTACAGTAAACATGGGTCCTTACAGCAAACAGTCGTCCTGACAACAAACATTCGTCTTTACAACAAACCTTCGTCTTTACAACAAACCTTCGTCTTTACAACAAACCTTCGTCTTTACAACAAACAGTCGTCCTGACAACAATTATTCGTCGTGACAACAAACATTCATCCTGACAACAAACATTCGTCTTTACAACACACATTCGTCCTAACAATAAACATTCGTCTTTACTATAAACATTCGTCCTGACAACATACATTCGTCCTGACAATAAACATTCGTCTTTACAATAAACATTCGTCTTTACAACATACATTCGTTCTTACAACACACATTCGTCTTTACAACACACACTCGTCTTTACAACAAACATTCGTCCTGACAACAAACATTCGTCTTTACAATAAACATACGTCCTTACAACAAACATTCGTCCTGACAACAAACATTCGTCCTGACAACATACATTCGTCCTGACAACACACATTCGTCTTTACAACACACATTCGTTTTTACAATAAACATTCGTCTTTACAACACACATTCGTCTTTACAACACACATTCGTCTTTACAACGTACATTCGGCTTTACAACACACGTTCGTCTTTACAATAAACATTCGTCTTTACAATAAACATTCCTCTTTACAACATACATTCGTCTTTACAATAAACATTCGACTTCACAACACACATTCGTCTTTACAATAAATATTTTGTCCTTACAACAAACAATTCGTCCTGACAACAAACGTTCGTCCTGGCAACAAACATTCGTCCTGACAACGTACATTCGTCTTTACAACACACATTCGTCTTTACAACACACATTCGTCTTTACAACATACATTCGTCTTTACAACACACGTTCGTCTTTACAATAAACATTAGACTTCACAACACACGTTCGTCTTTACAATAAATATTTGTCCTTACAACACACGTTCGTCCTGACAACAAACATTCGTCCTGACAACGTGCATTCGTCTTTACAACACACATTCGTCTTTACAACACACGTTCGTCTTTACAACATTCATTGATCTTTACAACACACATTCGTCCTGACAACAAACATTCGTCCTTACAACACACATTCGTGCTTACAACACACATTCGTGCTTACATCACATATTCGTGCTTACAACACACATTCGTCCTTACAACACACATTCGTCCTTACAACAAACATTCGTCATTACAACACACATTCGTCCTTACAACACACATTCGGTCCTTTAAACAACAATTTGTCCTCACAACACACATTCGTGCTTACAACAAACTTTCATCCACAAATGCCATCATGTAAGGCCTTGTTTTCACGAGCGATCCATTAGGTATTTGACTTAACAATGCTTTCCAACAGGTGAATTATATTCAGAAACAAAATCTTGTTTAAGATGTTTCTTAATCCGGCACTGGGTATTTTAACCCAGGATAACCATTCATTATCGCACAGTGGTCAGTTCCGGCCGACATGCCCTTCCGGCGTCGTGGACAACATACATGTACGTTAAACCTTTGTACATGGTCTTATAATTAATAGATTCATGCCGGGAGTTTATACCAGATGAAGTCAATATGGAGTTTTGAATGCGTGTTTTTAGCAAAATATAATTTAAAGAAAATGAAGGGTTGGGGTCAGCTGGGGTTCATGAAGCTCCCTAAAGCCCCTTGAACTTACCACTGTGCTAATCTCATAGGTCCTACTGTGTAACAGACGCGCTGTAATTACACGTGCATTGCTTTGCGCGTGAAGTATCTTTCTAAAGATGACTAAGATTAAAATCAGCGTACTGGTATAAATGCGTGTGTATATAATGTTGTCGTAATGTATAAGGATTCTCACAATAAAACTACGAGTATCCTTAAATTGAAATTATTTTTACTCAAATCTTGAATTCCCGGTTGTTGGTAGTTATAGTTTATAGTGGCTGGGTACAGAGATTAAGCTTATCAGTAAGATCACGCTGTTTTTCAAGTACGAAGCGTGTGAATTCTTGCACGTGCGTGAAAGTTTTGTTCCGGTGATAAAATAAAATAACTGATCAAATAATTCAACAACATACGAAACTGTTTTTCCTGTTAAACTTTTGGATGAAATTTAAAGGGGAGTTAATCCTGAAGTAAATATTATTTTCATTATTTTCCCCGATTTCGAATAAATATGACAAAAATAAACAGGTGCAAAAATGACTGTTTCGTAAAAGAAAAATATCACTATCAGAATTATCCAAACGAAACAGGTAAAGATTGAAAGCCCTGTCACCAGTATTGGAATAAATTTATAATTTATATATGCCAGATTTAATACTTTGTAAAATGTAATTTTATGTAATAATTTTAATTGTTTAAATAGAAAACTTTACCCGGAGTCCTTTGAATATAAACCGGTTAGTTTGGCACTTACACTTGGGACTTGATTTACAGGAAGGAAAAGTGTACCGCTATAACTGGTGCGGTACATGTACAGAACAAACATCGGGACAACGGTCCATTTTTTTAGACGGGGGTTCCCAAGTTTTCAAACTAAGAACTTTTAAGATAGGTGTGTGCTGGTGTAGACAAATGGATGCAAAGTGAATGTCTTAAACTTAGAAAGTATAACCAAAAAAAAAAGGATCGTGTGCCTTTAAATATGAAAACCTTTGTCAACGATCTACAACGGGACCAATTATTTTTAAACAGTTTTTCCGCTAGTTCCGTTCTGCAATAAAATTATCTTAGCGGATGTTTTTAAAGTACAAAGATATATCTGTCTCCCTCCCACAAGTAAATAAAACTTGACCCAATTCTCTACCACTTCACTTATCTGTTTGTCCCATTACATTGCAGGTTGGAGATGCTGGGGCTAGCGATTTGCCTGGTGCTGTCTGTGACGTATACATCCGGGGATACAAATGTAAGTATATATTCAAATTGTTTGTCATGAAAATGAATTATTTAAACTACATACACAGTATCAAAGCGTAAAGTGTAAAAAAGAAGAAAATGAACTGACACCACACACTAAGAACCATGAGGTACCGATATATGTGCCTTAACTTCCAGTTAAACTTCTACCTTTATATGTGATCAACTTGTCAGTTTCTTTTTCATTACGTGGTCAACTCGCCACAGTTCAATCTCTGTATATGGTCAACTCGTCACATCTAGATAACTATATACTTGAAAGTGGACAACTAACTTTTAGCAAAGTCTTGTTTTTACGCAAACTGTTTTTACAAGTATACGCTTTGATGTGACCACCATGAAATATCTCTCAATTAACGATTTCGAGCGTGTTGCGCTTCCTAAATCGCTGCAAAGTCCAATTACATATGTACCCAAAGAGTTGTATTCATTGGCGCGCATATTCATATTGCCGAACCTACATTAGTACACTTATAAGCGGAACGAAATCAAACACACACGATGATATAACGATGTTCAATCGTTTATACAATATTGATCACGGTAATTTGTAATTATTTCTTCATCCAGTTGCATCAAATATTTATGCTTTTTGGAAGGTTTGAGATAGGTTGAAATGGACATCACAATTCACGTTTCGTCGTCTGTGGGAGCCAAGCTCATTGTCCAGTCGATATTCCATGTCACCCGTGGGCGATATTATATGGAAAACGTATATAGCAATCAGACAATGAACTACGTTTTCCGCAGTTAGATTCACGTGAGGTTTAAAATGTATGAAATGTACCAGTGCTATAGTTGACAAACTGCGGTTTGGGTAGACGAGGTATATAATGATGAGTAAAATTAAAGAAGAAAAAGAAAGACGTAGAATACTATACTCTTGAGTATGATAATGTTAGCGCTGACATTGTAATGTTCATCATATGGAATCTTCTTTAGTGGTTAGACTAAACCGACTGTTACAGGTAATCTCTATCATACCAACGCTTGTCAACAAAGAGACATCACGGAGCTTCATTTATACTTTACTCGTAAATACATAATGCCATCTGTGATACGATCACAATGATAATGTGAGGGAGAATGTTTCATGGTTGTTTTAATTGTTTAAAAAAAAAAAAAAAAAACGTAAAAATATCACCAGAGAAAAACATTCGGGTTTACTTACGGTAACAGTTTTTGTATCCAGTCAACTCGTCACAGAATATATTTTATGCAGGCAATTCGTCACAGTTTGAATCTGAACCGGTCAACTCGTCACAGACATTACACTCTAAACAAGCAAGCAAAATATTCATGTGGACAACTCCTCACAGATAATCTTTTTTCCTGGACCATTTAGTCATATCGTCAAAGTTTGATCATTGCATCAAAATGGCAGCACCGATGATGGAACCAGTGCGCTAGATATAACAAGTATTTTACTAGTGAGGAAATACATCTAAATTGTTGATTAGCTAAGTGGGGCATTTTTTTGGTTTTTGGTAGATTTTGATCAAATTTGACTGCGATTTCGCATACATTTATATTCATATATATGTCTTTCCTCGTTAACATTAAAGTCGTTGCGTCATTGTTACATGATGTCGTGACGTCACAATCGATTTGTATTATATATGTTACATATCAGATCTCTACGACAAGGTCGTAATGGTCAGATCAAAGCGTAAACAGTCGGTTTCTTATTAGACTGACTGATACAAATAACTGAATGACATCTTACTACAATCAATACAATGCGATGTAAGACTTTTCCAAATCAATCTGATTGAAACCAGGGATTGTCTTCCACTCCGATACTCTCCGATCAATGGAGTAAAATAAAAGATGGCCTGGTTTTAATTAGATTGTTTTCAAAACTGTAACGATGAATAGTTGTCGTAATTAGTTAGATTTTCAAACTAATTCCGAAGACTTCCGATTCAGTTTTGAGCTACAAGAATCAACCAAACGACATCTTTACAACGCCATATTTTAACATCAAAATCAAAATGTGTTCGCCGAAATGATGACCAAGAATTATGATAAAGATGTTAATGTTATACCGACAGAGGTCACGTGATTTTATTTGACATATTAACATAACAACCGGCACTGTCTGATACCGATAACGTCCCTACACAGTTATAGTCCTAGTCTATCTGGAGCGAGAATCTCGCTGATATTTCATTCCAGATACGCAACCGTTGTTATAGAAATATCCGAACCAGATTTGATATTACAGTTTAGCTATCTCAGGGAGATGTCTTACAAACATACATTTGTACAAACAGTAGAGGTCGTAGGCTCACGTGATTAATGACACATTCGGAAAAAAATAGACTCTTTAAAAAAAATAAAGCTTACTTACTTTGGGTTTCAAAGTGTTTGGTATCAGGGGAGAATTCTATCTTCAGTCTTAACTTTTTGGGTTGGGTTTGATAAATTTAATTAATTCTACTCTCATTGTATCATTGTTTGAATGATTGATTCGCTATTCCGTTCATTTGGTGGAAACTATCCGGATTATCGGGGTGTCGTTGTTAATCAGAAATCGCTACTTCTTTGTCAGCTTTCGGGCAACGTCTGGCCACACCAAACGTCATTTTGATAAAAGAAAACAAATTGAAATTTCTCGTTATTGTGAATAAAAATGTTAGATATGGCCATAAGTTTTAAATCTTTCTTTATCTTGATACATGTACGTCTAACATTGTTTCGGACCATTTTTTCAATGGATCATATGCATCTATTCATGTCTTTAATATTGTCACTTCACCAAAATGCAAACACTCATATTTACCGAACATCATGTTCTTCAATATCATCTAAAATTGTTTTGTTTATAGATAATGATTCTTATTAAAAATTCATAAAGTATGCACACACTAGACATGTCGCCTTAATCGCGATAAGACGCCCGTCCATCGAACTCTTACTTCACGTTAGGTACCCATCTGAACATCTTTGTGTGCAGTATATTAGATGTGAGGATTTCTATTATAGCTAGCTAGAGCCAGTGATAATAAACACCCTCGTTTTATTGATAATCATTTTCTAAAAAAAAAGAAGTTTTATATTTACGGCGGGTACATATAGATACCAGGAAATATTCTCGAAATACAAATGCATCAGATGATGGTATCGGGCGGACTAATGTCGTATATGGTATCTCCGTCCTCATAAATGTGCCATTTTACAGCAAGTTCTACTTTGATACAGAAAATGGAGATGATTTTGATAAGATTTAATCCTGAAGTCTTTCAAAAGCCAAAAACAGGACAGTCTTCTAAGCTATCTTTTGAGCATGTGATTATCTTAGAAGCGCGTTACAAGTTTCCGCTGCGCAATTTGATGCAGACGCCGATTGTAGTGCTATGATAGTATGTACAGAGAAGTATGTGGATTGTGAACAATTGTTGTTACTACCTGTAAGAATCACGACAGACTTCAGAGTCTGTGAGAAGAGCACCTGTCTTGTTCCAGCAGTCGTGCCCGGAATACGTGAAATAACCCAACAGACACTCAATTGTCTGTTCCGTTGCCGTTCGTTGCATTCTTCTCGATTTTTTATTGGCTTTGGCGGAGGTTTTCGCTTCGACTTTTGTTGAAAACAAACAAAATTACCTACCCTGCTGTTTCATTTTGTCAACCAGACCCTGTATGAAACCAGATAATAGAAAACCAGGACTGGATCGACACCTCTTCATTAATACGAAGCAGATTTTCATGGAAATATTTCTATCGCTAATAAATAATAGGCATACATTTCGCCTATTTTTAAGAACAGTTATAAACGATATTTCTTCTTCTAATATGCATCGGTTTTTTTTTTTTTATTACATGCTCGAAATCTGCATTCGTTTGAATTTTTTTCAAGATCGCCTGAAATTTGATGGCATCTGATAGCTATTTGCAGTATCAAAGTAAACGCCGCTAGTCCAGAAATTACCTTTCCCACAGCCAGGTATGCTAACGAGACAAAAATGAGTAAGAGGGCGGAGTACCCCTAACCAGGGGTGAATGATTGATGGGGCCAGTGATGTACGGAGGCCGTGATGTCCCGCCACAGGATCGTGTTTCTGTTTATGTTGATATAACAGAAGCAACTAATACAAGGATCGTATGGTCGAAATGACGGCCTGGCAGTGAACCGTACGATATGACGTCTCGTTTCTCAGTACATGTACAATGGTAGGCAAATTATAAACACTGATGCCGCTACAAAGAACACTTACATTTGAAGTAAGTAAAGGCGCCGTGAACGCTACAGAGAACACTTACTTCTGAAATTAATAAAGGCGCTATGACCGCTACAGACAACACTTACTTCTGAAGTAAGTAAAGGCGCTGAGGCCGCTACATAGGACACTTACTTCTGAAGTAAGTAAAAGCGCTGAGGCCACTACATAGGACATTTACTTCTGAAGTAAGTAAAGGCGCCGAGGCCGCTACATAGGACACTTACTTCTGAAGTAAGTAAAAGCGCTGAAGCCACTACATAGTACATTTCTTCTGAAGTAAGTAAAAGCGCTGAGGCCACTACATAGGACACTTACTTCTGAAGTAAGAAAAAGCGCTGAGGCCGCTACATAGGACACTTACTTATGAAGTAAGTAAAAGCGCTGAGGTCGCTACATAGGACACTTACTTCTGAAGTGAGTAAAGGCGCTGAGGCCGCTACAGAGGACACTTACTTCTGAAGTAAGTAAAAGCGCTGAGCCCGCTACATAGGACACTTACTTCTGAAGTGAGTAAAGGCGCTAGGACCGCTACAGACAACGCTTACTTCTGAAGTAAGTAAAGGCGCTGAGGCCGCTACATAGGACACTTACTTCTGAAGTGAGTAAAGGCGCTGAGGCCGCTACAAAGGACATTTCTTCTTAAGTAAGTAAAAGCGCTGAGGCCGCTACATAGGACACTTACTTCTGAAGTAAGTAAATGCGCTGAGGCCGCTACATAGGTCACTTAGTTCTGAAGTAAGTAAAGGCGCCGAGGCCGCTACAT